ATCTATCCGAACTCTTGCTGTCTATTAAAAAAGTTCTCTTATAAATTTAGTAGATTCAACAAAAATAGGGCATTTCGAATATTCACGAATAACTATGACTTTATATGAAGAGGAAAACACGAGGGTGGCATAAGAATGTTGGCAGTATTCCATCTTTTAAATCAGCAAGGCTTTGCCTATTATACTAAGGCGAAAGTCAACGCCGCAATTATGCTGTGTCATTCCGCTCGCGGAGCGATTCTGAGAGGGTGAAGGCTGTGCACTCTCACTGTTAGCACAGGAAAGTGCCAGATGTGATACGAAATTGCCATCGTAGCCGGAATTCCTAGAAATTAACTGAACAAGACTGCACTGATCCTCAGCCAGTATTCGCCAGAACACAACAGAGCCAGTTCGCGGTTTTGTGACATACGGTTATAATCTGGACTACGTTCGCGTAGTAGGCGTGGTCAGCGATTTGCGGAAGTGGCCAGTAGCAGAAATATTTCTCTTAAGCGGCGTTGCTCATTCAGTAAAGCGTAGGAGCAAAAAACGAAAGGTCGTCGGCCCGAGCTTTGGTCGGGTTACTCGTCTTTCTTCCTTGTAAAGTTGATTAATGTCTACCACTCTCTTGGAAAGAAACATGACATTACTTACAATAGTTGCCACCTAGTGAGTTGTGACTTACAATTCGGGATGACAGCATTAGAACATCAGCGTCCCACCACTAAATTCATGAATAGAAGACGACCAAAATAGCTGACATCTTGACAGACAATGGTTACAGACGTCGTACTGCTTTTTCTTTCAAATCTTCAGGAAGTTGAACAATCGGTCCTAATTCCAAGTAAACACCACGGCGGTCTGTTATTATTTAAACAATTATTTCAGATGCTAAATCTAATTTAATTAACTTATCCCGTAATGTTGTTGTCGACATATTCACTGAATGATCGTCAATGTGCCACTAGTCCACCTTTACAAAGTAAGCAAGATGGAACAAATATCGAAAACCAAATCTACAATGCAAAATTCAGTACTTTAAGTAGCGTTGAATTGAGCAGTTGGTCTTTACGTCCAGCTCCGCCGAATCCAAGTAGATGCGAATCAGGTTGATGAGACCCGGAAACATAGGTGGCTTGCCGTTCATTATTTCGTTGACAGTCATTTCGACTACTTCTACTTGGTCGCAGCAATTTTCGTCTATGCTGGTCACGTTGCCATCTGACATACAGGGACAAACACATTTTACCTCTGGCGGTGACTCACATGTACTCAGTGCCCTTCGAAAATAGAACCGTTCCTAAAATAAAAACAATAAATACATATGCCTAACGTATTACAAGAAAATGGCACGTATATACACCTCCCAGGACGAAGGAGACCGACATAGCTTTAAAATACTGTACAAACGACAGGATGCACAGAAAAATATTTAGCTTCTTGACTGTATACGTCGTAAAAATTAATAAGCAAAAGATTTGATAAATGCAATTTTAACCACCCAAAATTTGGGCATGTCTAAGTTCTGGCTTCTAAGTCTGCTATTTCAAAAAAGCGTATTTTTGAGTTTTGCAAAACATTTCATCAACAACTGAAAAATAATGATGCTAATGTGTACTTACACCGGTAGCTACATTTAAAACTCTTCGTGCACAAAACCTTCGCGAGATGACCTCCTCGCTCCGTCACGCATAAAAAGAAACTGCTCAAGTACAGTTGGCTTACTGAAAATAACCGAGAAAAATCACAGCTTAAGTGCCACCCAACCGTTACCCGGAACCCCATTCGGAGAGGATAAATGGCAAACGGACGTTTTGTCCAGAACGCGCCCGGCAAACGCGAACAGTGGCCAAAACCATTTGCCCAGATCGCATGGAATGTCCATCAAAAACAAGCAGCGAAATATAATGATATACAGACATGAGAGTCGTTGCATAAATTTCAAAAAAAAGAAGACGACAATGAGGAGGTCATACTACAGGAGTGACGGATGAACAATAGCATTCAGCAGTGAAGGACTGGTACCCAACAGGTCAGAAGCGCCAAACTGGAGGACTTCAGCTCATACTGTTTGATGACGGAAGTTTGTGACGCAAAATCACGCCAGCCAGACGGGAGTGAGTGCCGAGGCAAGGCAATGGTGATCGGCGTAGAACGAAGAGGCACTCAACACTACCGCATAAATAGTTAGTCGCAATAACTACCCTTACACATCATCAGGTACATAAATCTCCAAAGGTCAGAACTATTCAGCGAGGAAAAATATTTGGAATAATGATGATTAACACTAGACCTGAGTCGCTCATCCATCAGAAACTTTCAGACATTTAACTGTAGCAATATTAACGCAATCGGTATCTACCATAACCAAACGAATGAGTGATTGATGAGTTTTTTTTACATCCCTAAGTTCCATCCCAGATTTATTACTACTGCACAGAAAGGAACCGGAAACGACGGAAACATACAATCGAAAGTATAACATCTATTCAGGAGTAACAGGGATCTTCCAGAGGAAATTTCATAGAGGTATAGGCACTAATTTTATATTAAAGTGTACGTAAATTAAATTAAAACGTGTGTAACACATTTAAACACATACAGACAAATACCGCTGTGCTTAAGAGTTACGCTTCGCAAACTTTTATTCAATTCGAATTTAAGCCACGCCACCCGTTAATCATACTCTATTATTTTAGTCTATACAGTATAACATAAATCTCTTGATTTATTTCTGGTTTAATGTTTCCACTTTCCCACGGCGGTGCACGTAAACACAGAAGATTATAAAAGTATACAAATACAAGTATACACGAAGTCCGTGTTCAGTAGTAAACCATGCGAGACTGAGGAATGCGTCCGCATGCATCGCGTGGGCTGTCAGGTGTAGTACAAGAAACGTACGCGAGCTAAATAAAATTTTTTTAACTCGAAATAAACTGCGCAAGAGCGAATTTACCCAGTCGCGAACTGACTGCACACGTTTTTCTTTTATTAGTTAAATAGCATAGTATTGAAGCAGCGTGAGCATAATCAATACAGAATAAGAGGCAGAAAAACCGCAGCGATCCGTGATCAAGATCGGTAACATTGTTGAAGCGGCCATGGCAGGACAGAACAAACATGACGCAAAACAAAAGCACCTAGGAATCCCGGAGATTAAGCGTAGCATTGCTGGCAAGGTTACGCCGCAGTGAGTTACGGTTTACGATTTACCTTAAATCTTTCTAGCCACACAAACTCCCATACTAGGTAAAAGTTTCCACAGCCGAGCCTCAGACCCGGAATCAATTAAGGTCATTTGCCCAAACGGATAGGATGACATACGCACAGGTGACTCGCTAACGAAAAACAACGCGACCAGTAATTATTAGAGCAAAGTGCACTACGGCTTTCAATGTCGCATAATGATACTCCCAGGATGTCATGAAGTAAGATATCTCTAACACATTGATGTTGATCTTCCTCTGGTAAACGCGCTGCAACATTTTACAGATAGTTATGGAAATCAACTTACACAAACCACTATATGGATTTTAACTTCAGATTTCCAGCTCGTAAAAAGCTATTCATAGCTAATTTTGGTTAACTACTGGGAGGAGGGATAAACTGCTTCATTAACGCTGCTCAGTTCATTTTAAAATTTATAAGAATCACAATAACGTAAAATGTGAATATCTGTGTTATTGCTCCTTCTGAAAGTTTAGCTTGAGCAGATTAACACCTTCCCTCTTTCCTATGGTACTTTATGCTTCATAGCAATAGTTTTGTCGCATGTTTACTACTTCTAATATGGCATTTATGCTAGCGGTGCAGTGGCAATTTATAAATCATAAAATTGTCAAATCGTGCAGCATTGTTTTAGGTTACAAAGTAGTACATGTTTTCGAAAGAAGTTTTCAAGCGAATCTAAAGACTAGTTTTCTGCTAAAGTTGACAAACATTATTTTATTAGCAATTTTCTTTCAAATATTTAAATAGTTTGGCTTCCGGATACAGGGAGTGCGAAACTACCATTAAAATGGGTGCAAAATCCGTAACGAATTTGCATTTCAACGTATCGAGCCACTTATGGGTGGGGTTATCAAGTGTGGACCAGTTGCTTTCATTATTTTAGATGAAGATGAGATCTGTTTTGTTGTCTGAGACGCGACCCTCCTTGATACATTTTGAATGCTTTCAAAATTAAACTGAAAGTGTTGAAAATTGAACGATTCTCTCCTACTTGGTTCGTTGTCAAGTTACCTTGACTTGAAAGACTTCGTTGTCAAGGTACAAGCTTCACTGAAAAAACATCTACAACTTTGAAAAGCATGACAGGCACTTAAAAACAAATATCACTGCTTCACGGAAGGGAATTAAGAAAGCCGTCTTTTACGCAATATATTCGCAGCGTTCGAATTCTACTATGTAGATGACTTCAAGATTGAATATTTTTAAATAAAATTTTACAAATGGTGGGTGATATAATAAAACCGA